AATCGACAGTTCTTCTTCCTTCTTAATCGCCTCACACCAAAACGACAGTACTATCGACACGCTATCAAACATGTTCTGGCTTTGATCACTGTCTGCTACTTCACGCCAACTAAGGCACAGCATTGGACATGAATGCAAACCATGAACTCACAGCATATGTTGCAAACATGGCCGCTCAATCTTTGTCCTGGTCCTTGCCCTTCTCAAAACTGCCCCAAAACAAGATGAATGAATTTCTGTTTGAGTTCTGCACCTTCTTCAAATCATCTATATCAGCAACCGCTCCAGTGATTTTGAAGGCATTGCCGACAAACTTCCAGTCGTCATTGTCGTCCTGCAAGGTCAAACCCAAACCCGTGTTGCACGAGCAGCTTCCGTGCAACAAATCTCTTGACTGGAGAGGAAGACATGAACGCATGGCTGAAGGAAATCTCTTGATGAAGTTTTGGCTGAACAAACCACTTAAACTTCAACCTAACACTAGTCAAAACGAAAAGGGACAAAGGCATAAATTGCTGCAGCGACCTTTGCAAACAACAACAAAATCTTTGACGCTTGAGTAGGAGAACCGATGGAGCACGACCCTACCTGTGTTAACATGACCAACTAACACCGGCTTTTAGCGCAAGAACCACAAAAAGGAACAAATGAAAGGAACATAGGGATGTAAAAACAATGTTGTTCCTTTAACAAATGTTGCAACTTTCAACGTCTTTGATGTTGAGATAGGACTTTTCTTGGCTTTTCGTCAATGAAGATTCTTCCTACACCTTACAAAAGGGCACAGCAAAGCAACAAGGGCATGGCAAAACATCATACAAAGTCTTAGTCTCAATCCTCTCTATCAAATTGAGGAAGATGCTGGGAAGATATCTTTTGGCAAACCCTGAGGAATAAATATGCTGGTGTTTTATGTATAAAACTTTTACTTCCCTCAAAAGAACATGGCAAAGGAACAAACAAAGGGCAGAGAAACAACATCTTGCGTCTAAGTCCTTTCGAAGTGGAATATTGGAAAGTATCCAAATAAACAACCATGTAATCTCCCCAACAGTCCTGAAACGAAACGTGACAAGGCAAAGGATGCCAGAAAGAAACCTCTTGATGAAGTTTCAACTGAACAAATCACTTGTATTTTAACCTAACACTAGTCCAAAGGAACTTCGTAAGGGAACAATGGCGCAGTGGCTCTTGCAAATAACAATGCCTTTGACGCTTGAGTGGGAGAAATGATGGAACACAACCCTACCTTTATCAACACTGGTTTTAGCACACAAACCATGCAAAGCAACACATGCAAGGAACATACAAGGATAACAAGGCTGCTTGTTCAACACTTGCTGTATCACTTAAAAGGTGAGATGTTGAGGTGGGAACAGTCCAAAGGGCACGGCTAAGGAACAAGGGCATGGCAGAAAATCATATCTAAATCCTCTCTGTCAAATTGAGGAAGATGATTGGAATACATGTTTTAGCAAATCCTGATGAATAAAAAACCGTGCAATCTTGTCCCAAAAGTCCTGAACCCTACCAAGAGCATATAATGTCAAGGTAATGTCTTGCGTAGTGACTTTCCCACAATCAGCATCGTGTGAACACCCTCAGCCTATATTGTTGTGAGCAAAAGCTCAATCAAACCAATTCCATCCTTAGTTTTCACTTGGAGGAATTTTGAGCTTGAGGTGGGGAGCGTTCAAATTGATTGTCCTAAACCGAAACGAGCGAAAACCAAAGAATCTCCAGATGAGCTGTGTACATTGATGTCTGCAGCTCTTGTCAGTCCTGCTGCAATTGCCTCACCCAAACGGCTCTGTTCTGGGTTGAAGAGGTTGTACCTTGCAGGGCATGAAAATGACAAGTTTCTGTTGCTGTGTAAGGTCTCGGTGATACTCGAAAACAGAAGCATCAAACAAAGAAAATATGGGATGCGCTTTGAATACACACATACCTGAAATTGCTGCTACTCAATTCATGACATTGGACGCTGTATGTATTCCAAGTTTTGTTGCGAAAGAATTGCACTTGAAGCTCATCCCAAATCAACTCGCAAACGAAGCAATCGATTTTCAAGGAAACAGAAAACAGTCCCTCACCTTGAAGCTCATCCTTCAACTGCCTTACTTCGTTCCTTGCCTCTGTTGCCTCCTTCTCTGCTTCTGCTGCCTTCTTGTCTGCTTCTGCTGCCTTCTTGTCTGCTTCTCTTGCCATGCTCAAGGCTGCAGGCAGTGCAGACTCTGCTAGAAAGTAAGCAATGTGCAACTTCTTTTCCTCCAACAAGCGCCGGACATTTGTAAGACCAAATTGTGTTGCAAGCCCCTGCGTATCAATTTGCAAAGCTGCTCGATTGAAAATGATCGCAAAGCCTGTAGTCTGCGGATTCAGTTCTTGTCTCCTCCAAGGCTCTGAATTTTCTACCAAGAACCCTTGGCGTGCAACGAGACAACTTTGGATCTCAATCTGGTAGAGTTTCATGGCTACGAAGCGGCTGTCGGAGCAAATTTGCACAAGCACACTCTGAACCTGTTCGCACGTAGCACTGACCTTGACCTCGCTTAGTGCCTTGATACTTTCAGCAAAGGCGTTGAAAGAACCATTGAAAACTGTGTCAA